GGAGGTAAGGAAGAAGAAGGGGATTGGCGAGGAAGAAGTGCCGGCAGCCATGGCTGACCGGGGAGTTGACCGAGAGGGTTGACCGGAGGCGTTGACCGGAGTTGACCGAAGTTGACCGAGGGTCATAGCAGCGTTGACCGGCGTTGACCAAGGCATTGACCAAGACTTTGACCAAGCTGGAGTTGGTAACATCTTGCCAAGCCCTTAGCCTGCCCCTTGCCCTATGGATGTGCACATACCCCTTGGTACTTGTTGAGTACAGTTTGTCTGTCTATTCTTTCTGCATTGAGTCTCTTCTGTCCTAGGTCATAGAACACTATGGATGAAGGATAGGGCCTTGCTGCCAAACCTGCACGAGACTTAGTAGGACCAATCTCTACTCTGGTATCTGGAGACCTGGGCATGAACAGCGAGCGCTCGTTAAACAACTCGTCCAGCCCAATGACCGGTATTGTCCGGCAGGTCTGCTCAGTTTCAGTGTAGAGGGTCCGAACTCTGAGCTGCAGGCTGAGACGAAGGCCGTCTTTAAGTTTTGAGGGCCTGTTGGAACCACTCCCCTACCAGACCAAGTAAGGATGATGATCTGTGTCTGACGACTCGACTGTTCCGGGGGATACGAACCCTCCCAAGGACCGGTACAGACCGGCGGGCTGCTCAGTGTGGCACAGTAGGCTGGAATGGCTGAGTTGTGGGCTGAAAGCACAGGCAGAACCAAGCTGATCACGTCGTCCTGTCTGGGACGTTAGAGAATTCTTGAGGAGTTACGGGGGATCTCCTTAAATGCCTCCTGATCAGCCACTGGTTCAGTAGGAACAACCATAGCATAGGTCTAGGCTAGAGACCATAGGATTCTGTGATTGTGCACCTATCACCATGGTTGAGACCCGTACTGGGCTAGAGACTAACCCCTATAGCAAGGAGCAACAAGAAAAGATGGCCGCCTTAGTCAGAGAGAACAAGGAGAGAAAAGAGCGCGAGAAGCAGGCGAAGCTAAAGGCTATCGCCGATGAGCAGGCGGCGAAGATGAAGAGAATGGAGGAGGAGATGGAGAGGGTACAACAGGAGGAGAAAGAAAGAAGGAAGGCTGCTGAAGCAGAAGCGGCAGCAGAAGAAGAGAAAGCGAGAATGAGAATTGAGAGTGGAGAAGGGAGCAGTGGTGGCACGATGAAGTGGGAGACAGATACTGAGCTGGAGAAGAAGATCAGCGAGTGGGTCGCTAATTTATCATTAGGGGAAGACGAGGAGGCGGAGTCCTATGTGACTAAGGATGAGAAGGCTGCGCTGTCCGCTGAGCTAGCAGCCATGACAAACCCGATGGAACGAAGAGAGAGGGAAGACGAGCAAAAGTTAGCATGGAAGTTGAGAATGAAGAGGGAGAAGAAGAGGAGGAGAAAGGACGTGAATAAGATGACCGCAGCAGTGGCAAAAGTGCAGGAGTGTAGAGCGGAGGTGCTGGCCCAGCCAGATGATAAGGCCAAATGGGACAAAGTACTGGGCTACCTAGAGGTGTTGAGCAAGGCCTGGATGGAAAAGCGCCAGGCCAGCTGGAGCCAAGACGTCGCGTTGAGTGCCATGCGGTCCGGGTTTAGGGATTTTGCGCGCAAAATCGTCACCCACATTGGGGGCGAAGTCAAACAGTTGAGGGACAATGTAGGGAAGTTTTGTGAGGGCGCCATTCTGGGTGCCAGAGCTGTAGCCGCTGTAGAGGGAGAGGCCAGACCCCGTAAGGACCCAGTGAAACTTAAGTTCCCAGATGCCTACGGGGGAAAGAAAGAAGAAAACTTTGACAACTAGGAAGCCAGTGTCAATATTTATATTTACCCGCAACATATCCTAATGGAGGAGCAAGTCCTCGTGGCCTTTCAGGCCCTCAAAGATGACGCGGCTAGTTTCGCTAGGTCTCTTGTGCGTACAGCCGGTTGTGAAAACAACCTGGTTGCATATTCCAAAGTCACTCCTCTTTCCCAATTCCTCAAGCTCCTCGAGGAGCGATTCGCTGACCCAACGCGAGGCATTAGAGTCTTTGATAAGCTCCAAACGATCCATTCCCAGCAGTGGAGGAGTGCCAAGGCAGTCAATGGTACCATGCACGACTTGGTAGCCGTCCTGGACCATGGGGTCACTGAGCCCCAGTTGGTCCAATTGTTTTATCGTGCCATTGCAGAGGCCCTACGGGGGCATTTCTCCATGAACTCCTACACCGTGAACTCGGTGAACTTCATTACCGGTTTCCGTGCACAGACCCCGTGAACGGTGAACGAGGGTACGACATTGGACGTAGTTAGTTGCGGGGTGTTCATGCTGATGCTTGTGATACTAGTGCAATGAGGTGATCGACCACCTTTAAAGTTCTCTTGTAAAGATATTCCGCTTTTTAGACGATAATTCACATCATGTATCTTAGAACGGCGTTGTTTTTGATGAATTTGATTGAATTAGAAACTTTATGTTGAAAATATTTAATTCATTAATAATTATATTTTGTAAATGATGACATTATTCAACTGTCGTTTTGACAACAACATTGCTTTCTTTTATCGTTGTGAGTGTAAGTTGTCTCCGGCATGATCACTGTAAGTCTTGCGTCGCATATAGACTTTCAAATCTCTGTCACGTCCTAGTCGTCTCTCATGCGGTGAAGGAAGTGCGCATTGCGTTGTCAATGTTTTAAATTTTGTTCAGATCTATCAAAAGTGTACATATGATTGACATTAGAGAATATCGTTAATTGTACTGCGACATGACAAATTGGTGTGTGGATGTAAGACAAATCTCGGCGAGTGTGTGAGTGTGTGGTTTATTATGCAAAGACCACTAACATCACGCTTCTTGCGTGCGCATAAAATCACATGCCTTGTGACCGTCTGCATTACATGTAACCAACAACTTTGTGTTCGTACGCAAACCTTTTGTGCATGACCAATTAAAGTGCAGATTCGGTCCAAAATAAGCAAAATTTGAAGTTCTTGTGTAATATGACAGCTGTTGTTGCCGAAAACGAACCTCTATGTCAAAATTAATTGCTTGTTACAAGACAAACGGTGAACATCTTTGAGTTGTACTTCAACCACTACTGTAACTGTTACATTGCTTAAAAAACTACGTAAATAATATATCCAACAAGTTTACAATAACATATTGTTCAAAGCAAACATGTCAAACAAGGATACGATCATGACACCTTGCTCATCACGATTGTAAACAAGTATGGATCTCAACACACTTCCACTTATTGGGCGAGATGGTGGCCGTGCCCATCATTACACTAAGTATTCTAAAGAAGTCCGGATCTCATTAACATCCAAACAACCGTCTCGGATGAGATGATGGGCATGCTTGCACAACTTAGGGATAACCTAAAGAAATGCATTATTCAACAAGGATTCAATCATAACTCCTTGCTCATCACATTTATAAACTTTAAGTTTAACAAGAATGAATCTCAACAAACTTCCGCACAGGGTTCCCGGATGGGCGTGCCTATCATTACACCAAGTCTTCTGAAGAAGACTTAGTTTCGATCTCATCAAACATCTAAACAACCACCTCACGCGAGAGGATGGACATGCCTGTATAACTAAGGGATAACCTAAAAAATTATACTCTCCAACAAGGATTCAATCATGACACCTTGCTCATCTCATTTATAAAGTTTAACACGTATGGATCTCGGCACGCTTCCGCATTTTGGGATCTCATTTATAAAGTTTAACAAGTATGTCTCAGCACGCTTTCGGATTTGGTTAATCCCCGGGTGGGCGTGCCTACGTTGCTTAGGCCGCAGCCAAAAATGAATTCGTTAAAAAGAGGATACAATATATTGTCCCATTTTAACGAATACCATGTTTCGAAGCCTCGGTCCCCAAGGTCCCAATGTCGGGAGAGCAGTGGGCCTCGCGAACTGCTCTCAAGACGTTGAATATTACACTGAATTTGGTCTGCACCGTGGAAAGATCCACGGACAAAGTTTTTTTTTTTTTTTTTTCCTTATTTTTTGCTCACCTCCAAGGCTGCGTTTTTCAACACAGCTGTCGAAACGCAAGGAAGAAAAGGCGAAGGCGTGCCAGACTGCCAGTACCCCGACCTTGACAAATGTCGAAACTCGCGCTTCTTTCACAACCTCCATTTCGAGATTTTGAAACTCGGCCCGCCGCAGGCGGGCGGTTTCCGCCCATGTGGAAAGGCCTCCTCTGACAAATGTCGAACCATTTTCGACATTTTTCCTTCACCAGTCTATGTGGCAAAGAAAAATTGTTGAAACAAACAACAACACTTTTTTGCCTTTTCTCCACGTGGTGAGAAGTTCAGCAAGGCCCTAAGATATAAAAAGAAAAGTTCTGCTCAAAAAAGAAACCAACAACTCTTCTTTTTGTCTTTTCCGCACGTGGTGAGTAGTGGAGTGAGTACTACTGCCTATGGTGAGTAGTGGAGTGAGTACTACTGCCTATCTCTCTGGGCTACTCAAAAAAGAAACCAACGACTCCTCTTTTTTGTCTTTTCATGCACGTGGTGAGTAGTGGAGTGAGAGTACTATTCTGCTACTCAAAAAAAAAAAAAAAAACTCTTTTTTCTCTTTTCTGCACGTGGTAAGTAGTGGAGTGAGAGTACCACTGCCTATCTCTCTCAGCTTCTCAAAAACGAAACCAACAACTCCTCTTTTTTGTCTTTTCTGCAGGTTGTGAGCAGTGGAGTCACTGGGGTGAGAGTACTACTGCCTATCTCGCTGGGCTACTCACCAGGGGCAAAGTTGAAATGAACCAACGGGCGTAGCTCAGTTGGTACGCCCATGAACTGTTGAAATACAGACCAATGTTGGAATCCAGATACAATCATATCAACAGAATACAATCATTCTGAAATACCTGTGGCCCGTCAGTTTAATGATGAGATCTCAAGGCCGTCGGCCTTTTAAAAAAAGAGGAAAAAAAAAGAAGGTTGAAATGAATCCTCCCCTGAAACGTCTAAAGACAACCCGCCATAAAACGAAAACGAATCTGCTTCCAAAAAGATAAACAACAAGGAATCTTACTGGCGAATCTACTTGGGGAACAACAATCATTATAGCGGTATGTCCTTGTATTCCAACATGCGCTGGCCCATGCGGGTTGGAAGCAATGCCAACTGAGGGCGTCGCCACGCCCCTCTTACCAAACTCATTTTCAATCAAGAGTTGCTGCGTGGACACACTGGCCCACACAGCCTCTTGAAACTCGGGGCTTTCAAGAGCTGTCAGAGTGGCAGCTCTTGAAAGATTGGAAACCCCAGCACCCAGCCTGCCTGCAACTCGTGTGTTTTCAAGCGTCCTTGGCCGAACCCCTGAGGGACTTTCGATTTTCAAGAGTTGTCAGTCAGGCGGTTATCCTGACCCCATTCGAAAAAAACAAAGATGTCGGACAGTCCTTTTTCATACTTCGCCACACCGCTCTTGAAACGGGGAAATATCTCAAGAGCTGTCAGACGTTCTCAAGAGTTTTCTGTGGGCCCATGGCCAAACAGGACTCTCGAACTGGCGATGGTGTTAGACAAAGCATAAAAAGGGACAGTCGTACATCTTTGCTTTTGTAATGGCGTCTTGATAACGGCCTGACAACTCTTGATTGAAAATCGGTAGTCCGTCAAGGGTTGGGCCAAGGAGGCTTGAAAAAGCACGAGTTGCAGGCAGGCTGGGGTTTCCAATCTTTCAAGAGCTGCTCTTGAAAGGGTTTCAAGAGGCTGCCACACTGACAGCTTTTGAAAGCCCCAAGTTTCAAGTGGCTGTATGGCCACCCAGCAACTCTTGAAAATGAGTTTTCAAAAGTGGTGTGGCGAGGCCCGGAAAGTGCTGTGTGGCGAGGGGCCGAAAAGTCTTGAAAACCCAACTCTTAAACGACTGACAGCTCTTGAAGAATTTCCCCGTTTCAAGAGTGGTGTGGCTGGGCCCTGAGTACGAGGAGAAGTTGGGCCCGCCCCATGTCCCGGAAGTTTTCCCAACAACGAGATCCGCTATTCGCTTTAAAGGGAAATGAAAAAGAAGTAGAAAAACGTACACGGCCACACACATGGACAGAGACACAGGCAAAGACACACACACACACGCACACAGTGTCACACACACACACACACACACACACACACACACACACACA